AGCATCTGCCCTCCCATCAAACAGAAATCTTTAATCTCAGGCTATAATTGTATAAGTTGCATTTAATACATTTACAGTCAGCATATTTGAATTGAATTGCATTGAATTGTAAATTAATCAAATGATACTGATTCATATATATTAAACATAAAAAAACCTGACCAAGATTAAAGATATCCAAGCTTAGCATTTTATGCAGATAAAATCATTAAATCTTTAACTGATGTAGAAAACTGTATTAAGCATGTTCATTATCAGTGTGCCATTTACTTTAAAAAAAAAAGACATTCAAGACAACCAAAAAATATAGTTTCCATGCAACAGCTATAGTTTCATCAAAACAGATCTCATAGAAGCATCATTCCATATGAAAAAAAAATAACTTTTTAAAACTAAGTCAAAAACATCTAGGCATGCAGCAATCCCACAAACTGATGGATTGAAGAAGTAAACTTTTCCAGTTTGTTCATCTCAAGCCTTAAGAGGAAATCAAAGTTTGAGGCATCATGGGCCTCCATGCTGAAACCTGGTGCAGTGTTTAAGCTCAAGCTTTAACAATTACATCTTTGATCAATTAGGGAACACAAAGCCACTTTTCACTCAATCTCAGCTTTTCCAGCAAATTTAACTGCCCAGTTTCCACCTGACAAGGATGCACTATTTTCAATCTGGCAGTCAGCCATCCTTGGTTGCTTATTCCTTGCCTTGATAGAGAGTTAAGGCACCCCTGCAACAATGCTAAAAGCCTCAGATATCCTACTCCTTCCACACTAGAAAGAATGAAATAGAGGTGCCATATGTGCAGATATTCATCTAAATGATGCTACTGGCAAATAAAGGTAGGAAGAGGAGAGGTTATGGAAGAGGAGAGGTTGACAAAGCCCTTAAGTTTTCAGATTAGCCAACTGTGCCCTATGAGAACAGATATTAATGTAAAAAAGGAAACCTTTCTTAAATAAAATCACCAGACAAGTTGATGTTTCTCTTCCACTAACATTAAAAAAACAAGCATTTCTTTCAATTCTGCTCTTTCTCCTTTGCAAAAACCAAGTAGTTGTAAAGCAAGAATCCCACAAAATTCAGAAAAACAACCTTTCTACATGGAGGTAAAAGATTTAGTTCAATAAATAACCCAGTGACTACCAACACACTCTGTTTTTCCTCTAGCAAAGCAAAACAATTGGTAAAGATTTGCATCGAGCAATGATTCTCCTCTATCTAGGCAAGAGTAACAGAAAATATTGCAGTCAGTTAGCATGTTACTCTTGAGGTGCAGTGATAGCCTCCCATTATCTTCAGCCAAAATAGGTCTTCCAAATTGTTCTGCATTTAATCATGGTATAATTCAGGCAAAGTTCTTCCTAGCGATTATTTCCCAAATCTCACATCCTCTATGATCAGAACCTAATTTTAAAACTGTATTTGCACTACTGCAGCTATTGGTTTGAAGTTTTTCACTAATTCTATTTCACCATTACAAATGTCTGACTCCATTCTTTTAATAGACTTCATCAAATGTATTTTAAGGTACAGATGCATTTAGTTATTCATATTAATTTGAGAGGAGGGAATCCTGTATCTTGTTTCTACCCTGATAACCACCAATGAGATTAGATGATGACTCCCATCACCTTGAATGAACATGGACCATTGATGAGAGCTATAGCCCCACCCCCATCTAAAAAAAAAAGTAGTTAGAAGAAGCTGACCTATGGAACAAATTCTGGAGAAAATAAAAAATTGTCAAATGAAGCCACATGTTTTTTCCACAAAACAAGCAAGGAAGATCTTTACTTCCATTGAGACTAGTCTTGATTTCTCACCTATCAACGGAAGAAATCTACCTTTATTCCTGTTTGGAACTAATATAAGTCTTTGAGATTGTCTAAGAACAGCATACCTAGGAAGTAGATGTTGCCAATTTTGGAAGCACATCCTTAGTGATTTGAAGAAATAGCGTGAGAATTGAGAGTGAAATATAGTTCCCACTTTCTACATACATCATTCATCCAGCTATTTTCCTAAAAAAAAAAAAACACCTAACCATTATCCAGATAAATTATTTTATGCAATTTGTTCAGAATCATTTAGATGTGCTGTCTTGCAAAAGACCTTTAAAGAATGGTGGCAAATAAGCAAAGTAGCACCAACAATCTTTTTCTAGAACAAAACTTTGAATCCAGTCTTGACCCAGAAATATCCCGGAGTTGCATAGGCCTAAAAAGACCTGGGTGAGGATACCCTGTCCCATACAATCAATTCCATGTGTTGCCTTGCCTTGAATTACTGCATCCATAAAATGGAAGTAATCGCTTTAAACTATTTAGAAAAACAAATGAGAAGCCTGCTGTTCCTCAATGAATACAGAAGAGACATTTATACAATTATCCCATTACAGTATTGAGATTCAGCTTACAGTTGCTGGTCCCAAGTTGTTCTTCATTAAACTCTGACCTCCGCTGCCGGAGCCCATTAGATTCAACGATGCTAACCTATCCCCAGCATGATTTTTGTTTTGTTTTGTTTTTGCCCTCTGTATTAGCTACTGGAAATCAGAGGGGTGGGGGGACAAACCCACGTAAAGTTGATCCGACAGTATGCCAAGCCCGTCCCAACTTTGCAAGCCACCTCAGGGCTGACATTCCCTGATAAATGGGGAGGGCTAAGAATCTTACAGAGAGATTTTACTAGCGTTACAAAGCCGTGGAACCCACAATCGCAACCATCCCCTTCCCACGCACAACTTTCTGGTGGGCAGCGGCGCTTACGTCGGTAGGAGCATCAGCTAGCTGGAAACCCCTTAAGGGGGTGGAAGAGAAGATCAGACGGGGGGTGGGGGAAGGATCTTATAAAACGAAAAGCGACGAGGCGTTCTCTTTCTATCCAGTGTAAAATCCTTGTAAGTATGGTCTACGGTGAGCAGACAGAGGAAGAGAGAGTGAGACGATAGGCTGCTTACCTGGTATAAGATGGGGGCTGCCAGGGGAGCCTGGACTCTTCAGATCCTCGGGGAAGCCCTTCTTGGTGGAAAACAGGATTTCCCCTGTCTCGCTAAGGGTATGGACTGTCTGCTAAGCGGCAAGAGAAACCCCGTTCCCACTGGGTCCTAATACCCTTCTACGCCAGTCTTGGCTTTCGCACAGCCTCCACAAAGCAGGTAATGACCCTGCTACGGGTTTGTTTGGAACTTTTTTTTCCATAGCAAAGGTCACTTGGGAAAAAGAAGAGGGATGCGCCGGGAGGAGAGTACAAAGTTTACTGCCACAAATTGGCGTTGGAAATCAATAAAGGAAAAGCTGATGAAACCGTTCTGCGACCTATTTTCCAAGCAAGCAGGACGCGGGTTTTTTATTTTTATTTTTATTTAACTTGGAAAGGCTTTTGCCCGTCACTGAAACGCTCGTGCAGGTTAAATCACACGATTTTAATAGGTCACCCTGCGGTGTTATATATTACTTCCACCAGAAAAGAAAAACCATAGACCTCTTGGATTTCAGCCATCTCAAAGGTGGATCTATAGGATAGATTTAAAGCAAAAACACGGTCTAGAATTGCTATTCATTTTATAATTACAGTAAGTACTGTATTTCCTCCAACAACTCCTTTGCCTGTAAGCAAAGTAGTTCTGAAAATGATTTTATATTGTCTCTGTGGGATGTAATGTTCATGCCAGAAGCCTTTTCTTTCTCCCCTCTTGTAGAAGAGAGAACATATGTTCTAAAGTAGGGCAAACAGCTTTGGAAAGTACTTGTATAAAAATAATTTATTTGTAAACCATACAATTAATGGAACACACTCTTATAATGTGTACCATTTTATTATCAAAGAATTTCATCCGGTTTAGCTAACCATGTAATTAAACGTTGTTCCATTCCGATCCTTTGCTGCTCCTCAGTCTGCAGCATAAAAAATGGTTACAATCACAGTACATTTACCATCGTTTTCCATACATACCAAATCATGTAGAGGGAATGACTTAGCTCAATGTTTGAACCATATGTTCCTGAAAAGATTGGTGGCTTTGACAAGAAAGTATTTTCCACTGGTATTTCAGGAAATACATTTCGCTGACAGGTAAAGAATCTTCTGCATCTTACAAGAGACCCAACAGCAGGAAAGTTTCCAAGAGAAAATGTGAAAATCTCTTATCCAAACCTAGCCTGTTGTATAGATCCCAGAGAATCTGAAGGCTGATATAGATTAAGGAACAATAAAGATTAAACAAGAATGGGTATTTTGCTTAAAGGCGAAGAGGAGTTCAAAATAATAGATTTCTTATTTAAGAAATGGGGAGTCTTCAGTTGCTTTGCTTGTTCCTTAATTTCAATGATTTTGTGAGCAACCTAATACCTCTCTATACCTGGTAAAACCCAATGTAAGTGGCCTCCTTCCACATTCCCGCAGACTGAACAGATTCTCCTACCCCATTTTTACTTCCTTTTGCTTCCCACCTTTGCTGATGACATGACAGCAAATCCAGGAGCCTGCATTCTACAGTACATTGTTTTGAGACATGTTGTTAGCCTCATCAAATTAAAACACAGAGGTTTAGAACAAATTGAGGTATGAAAATGGACAACTCAGAGGCTCATAATGATCTTCAGAGTGAATGCAATACAGGACCCAACATTTGGAGGTGGGGGTTGTTTTTTAGTTGGGTGTTAATGGATAAAGTGGGTTCTTTAAGTTTTGCAAGATCTCAAAACTCCAAAACCAATATTCCTCTGATTTTGGGGCAAGGTTCTCCACCTGCCAGTCTTAACCACTAGTTCAGTTTGGCTTTCTTTCAGCAGAAAAAAACCCTTTGTTTTAAATCATCAGAAACACCCACCACCTCCAGGTTAAAATTAACTATCAGTAGCAAAGTCCATGTGCCTTTTTCTTTCTCAGCAGTTACTACATTCCCAATCACTTTAGTTTTTTGGTTTTAAACGCAGTTATGTAGCATAACTCCCCACAATTCAAATTAATACAGCCATCAACTTGAGAGCTGATTCTTATATTTTATTTAAAAAATCAGATCAAATGAGAAAAATGATTTAAGAATTTCTGTCTCTAAACAAATGAACAATGGATAAAGAACCTCCCCATGCACAAAATAATATTATCAGTGTATAAGGCCTAGAATACCTTCTGAAAGGAGCTGAGAAGTATTTTCTTAGGTGTAGACCAACATGCATACACACGCAATGCATGAAGACAATAGGTATACATTGTTGTAGTGAGTACTGAATCACTTTCAAGGTTCTAGCAGGAAGAAAAATATGATTTAAAATCCAGCCACCCATCTGCTCCCAATTCTTTCTAAAGTCTGCTTTCTATTAGCTGTGGCTGCTCTAGGCCATTAACTCTTTGAAAGCTGGCTTGTATAAGCAATGTGCTTTGATAACCTTAGAAGTCCAAATACCAATTTTGGTTGTCCAAATCCTGTAGACAATAGTGCTATCAATTAGAACTTGAGATCTCATAAGTTAACATTTTATTTCATGTTAGTAGGTTCAGCATTTTTCTATCGTTGGATATATTGCAATGGTTAACCACTCACTGTTAGTGGCCAGGAGAGACAACCACAAAATCTCCCTTTGTTTTTATGGGGCTGGGCTGGTTTCTCTTAACACTGTCATGGATTTTTAACATCTGATGCCATTGTGGTTTACAGGAGTCAGCTATCAGGGATGCAGATGGATCAAGTCATCCCATTCCACCATAACTGAAGAAGGAAACTATAAAATGTACATGCCAAAAATGCACGTAATACATCTCTTGCTGCCACTTCAGCAGCTTTGTGGAAAATTAACAATTTGGGGGAAGAACACTAATTAAACTGAAAGCCCCCGGCCCTAGGATTCTCACTAAAATTTAACCACGATATTAGTTACAGAATTGCATGTCCTGAAAATGATGTAGTAGGTACTCTTCCAAGAGAACAACAGTGATAGCTGCTCAACTATGCATAATCTGGAACAAGCTAGTATAGATGAAACTCGAAAAATTAGAATATCGTGCAAAAGTTTATTTATTTCAGTAATACAACTTAAAAGGTGAAACTAATATATGAGATAGACTCATTACATGCAAAGCAAGATAGCTCAAGCCGTGATGTGTCATAATTGTGATGATTATGGCTTACAGCTCATGAAAACCCCAAATCCACAATCTCAGAAAATTAGAATATTAAAACAAGGATTGTACATAGAACAATATCAGACCTCTGAAAAGTATAAGTATGCATATATACTCAGTACTTGGTTTGGGCCCCTTTTGCAGCAGTTACTGCCTTAGTGCGGTGTGGCATGGAAGCTATCAGCCTGTGGCACTGCTGAGGTGTTATGGAAGACCAGGATGCTTCAATAGCAGCCTTCATCTCTTCAGCATTGTTTGGTCTCATGTCTCTCATCTTGCTCTTGGCAATGCCCCATAGTCTCTATGGGGTTCAGGTCAGGTGAGTTTGCTGGCCAATCAAGCAAAGTAATCCCACGGTCAATGAACCAGGTTTTGCTGCTTTTTGGCAGTGTGGTCAGGTGGCAAGTCCTGCTGGAAAATGAAGTCAGCATCCCCATAAAGCTCATCTGTGGAAGGAAGCATGAAATGCTCCAAAATCTCCTGGTAGACGGCTGTGTTGACCCTGGACTTAATGAAGCACAGTGGACCAACACCAGCAGATGACATGGCTCCCCTAATCAACAGACTGTAGAAACTTCACACTGGATTTCAAGCATCTTGCAGTATGTGCCTCTCCATTCTTCCTCCAGACTCTGGGTCCTTGGCTTCCAAATAAGATGCAAAAGTTGCTCTCATCAGAAAAGAAGACTTTGGACCACTGAGCAACAGGCCAGTTCTGTTTTTCTTTAGTCCAGGTAAGATGCTTCTGACATTGTTTGTTATTCAGGAGAGGCTTGACGAGGAATACAACATGTCCACGATCCATCTGTGTATGGTAGCTCTTGATGCACTGACTCCAGCTTCAGTCCACTCCTTATGAAAACCCCCAACACTTTTGAATGGCCTTTTCCTGACAATCCTCTCCAGGCTGCGGTCATCCCTGCTGCTTGTGCACCTTTTTCTTCCACACTTTTCCCTTCCACATAACTTTCTATTAATGTGTTTTGATACAGCGCTTTGGGAACATCCAACTTCTTTTGCAATTACCCTTTGAGGCTTTCCCTCCTTATGGAGGGTGTCAATGATGGTTTTCTGCACAACTGTCAGGTCAGCAGTCTTTCCCATGATTGTGATTCCTACTGAACCAGACTGAGAGACCATTTAAAGGCTCAGGAACCCTTTGCAGGTGTTATGGCTTAATTAGCTGATTAGAGTGGGACACTTTGAGACTAGAATATTGAACCTTTTCACAATATTCTAATTTTCTAAGATTGTGGATTTGGGGTTTTCATGAGCTGTAAGCCATAATCATCTCAATTATTACACATCATGACTTGAACTATCTTGCTTTGCATGTAATGAGTCTATCTCATATATTAGTTTCACCTTTTAATTTGCATTACTGAAATAAATGAATTTTTGCATGATATTCTAATTTTTTGAGTTTCAACTGTATGTGTTAGACATACAAATTCCAAGTATATTTAAGACTGAGCATAGGACAAGCTCACAATAAATGGGATAAGTATACATTTCCACCAAACCAGAAAGCCTAACCCAACACAACTCCAACAAAAATTGGTAAACAGTGTAAATGAGTAACTACTGAACTAAACATATATCCTAAACTTCAAAATTGCAAGATTGATTATTTTAATCTGTAAATTGAAGCAATAGAAAACAATTGCAACTGTTAAAAATATCTGGTTATACATATTTCAATAAATCAGAACAATTTACAAGTTAATCAGTGGAGAAAGGCACTGCACGTGATATATAAATAAACGGCTTTGCAGTTAAACCAATCCTGTTCACACACATATACGCATACAAACAAGTAGATTCCAATTCAGATATGCATAGTTACTTTGTAAAAAAATTAGAATCGTATAAAACCATCAAGCTATTCAATTAATTCAATTTTTCAAAAAAAAAAATGGCTCAGATATAAAAATGACTCTGCTCCAGGTCTAAAATTAATTTTGGTGCTAAGATTGTAGCCACAAATGTTAAGATGTTCAAGGGCCCTCAGTGGTGTTTGTACCTGTATGTATAAGGCTAAGCCTCAGTGTCAATGACATAGTCCAACTTCAAAAGAACTCAAGCTACTATATTTCTTATTTTCTATGGCAACATTAATGGCTGTGTCTGCAAATGGGCTCTCTTATTGACATCTTTCATCCTTTCTCATCTCTGCTGTTAATCATGGAGGCAAATATCACATTGGCAGTTCCATATTTGTAGAGGGAAGGGGCAGCAGAGGAAAGGTTGACTGCCCTGTGGCTAGGAAAGAGGGAGAAGTATTTCTAGCATTCAAAAAGAAATCTCCAAATGAGAATTAAAAGTGATAGGTAAGAGTCAAAGGGTAAAAAGTTTTTAAAACCTTGAAAGTAGGGCAATTTTTATAACACTGATATTGTTTAAAATAAACCCAATGATCCAAATATTCCGAACATTGCACCCCTATATATGTCTTGATGAAGTCCATTCCTAAAGTTAATAGACGTATGAGGCAACATGTTGTTCAAGTGAACAAAGCAACAGTTTTAAAGGCCCCCAGCCAAAATGCTTCCAACCAAGATTCCATCCTTGAGGGCATGCTCCACATCCTTCTCTTCTATTTTCAGGAAGACCTGGTGGAAGAAAAAGAAATGTGCATCTGTTACTTGGACATTACTGAGTATCCATGACACACGATTAAACTGTATCAAGATTAAACTGTAGGTATTGGTGATTTCTAACTTTCCCTTTACTCTCTCTATAAAAAAAAGTTCCGTATCAACTTGTCACTGAAACAGTCCAATTTCTAGCATCTGCTGATTTCCAACTACTTTACAACCAAAACAGAAATATTATGATTGTTACAAGAATAAACAATCTGCCATACAATTTCCACTGCCAGTTCCCATAGAATTAACATTTGAAGGAGAGGGATAGAATGAAGATTCTTTCCAAATGCCTCAAATATTTGCATTTCCTTTTTCTCCAATTATAAAAATTTAGATGTGTACAAGCAGTAACGAGGTGGGGGAGACAGATTAATAATGAGTTATTTCAGTTGTACAACTTCTACTGTTCAAAATGCACAACATTTCAATTCAATTATCTTCTATCGCAGAATTCCATGCATTTAGCATGAATTAATTGCCACAATATTGCACTTAATGGCTGTGTCTTTGCTTTCTCATTACAGAGTGTGCATTTTAGAAATTTACATTCTAGAAAGTTATAGGACTTTGGAAAAATAGGCAAATTTCAAGGAGGACAGACAACCAATCAAATACATTGTGATAAGTCTGCTGGGCGTTCTTTCAATATAGGGTAGAATGACTAGTGTTACGCATGCAGTTACAACTGCTCTGCTGAGAAATAATTCAACTCTGTTCTTTCTTTGTTTATTGTTTCTACAGTTCTGCAAAGAACAGATATGAACAGAAAAAGTTGTACCCTGAGGATGTCTCACAGAAACACAAGAAAGGAGAGCTGGTAAATGTATTCTGTCAATACAGCTAAGATATTTAAGATGGCTGCATCTAGAGAAAAAAATTCCCAGGCACAGCAGAGACCTTTAGGCAATAAAGAATTCTAGACAGTACATTTTCCTAGGAAAACCAAGACAAGAATCACTGCCCAATTTTTATCACTCCATTATTTTCATTATTATAATAGAGTAAAAGCCAACCTCTCAAAAGGGTTTCCTCTTAAAAGCAGTAGAGAATGGAAAATTTCTACATTAATCTTAGATTTTTCGGCCTAGGAAGAACATGTAATTAATCTAAACCGTTCTCCCAGCCAATCTGGAGAAATACCTTAGACAGCCGTGCTTCTTTAGCCTTTTTGAGTCCTACAATGCCCCTAGATTCCAAAAGAGCTGAGAGTGAGAGGCATTCCGATTGGTCAACAGGTCCAACTTTCTGTTTCTGACAAATTCTGCTGTAGGCTTCATGCAGCTAGAAATAGAGAAGGTTTAATTATTATTGATTATAATAATAACACAGAGAGATTAGCATAAATGACAAAGCTCACTCATCCTAGCTTCATTTTATTCCATTATTGTAGCTTTTGACTAAAATATGTTCTTCATAATCATAACCCAAAGTGCCCAGCGAAAGCACTTGCTAACGTAGCTCTATATTTGGTATAGCTACTATATTTTTACTTCTTAAAGAAAAGAGTGGCCATGGAAAAAGATATAGGAATCTCTAATAATATATATTGCAAAAAATTCAGAGCTTATGCTAAATCCCATTAAAGTATAATTTTACTAGAAATAATGGACAAATAATTGCTCCAGCTAGTTTCAGCATTTGTTCCTATGGAATAAAAGAAGCACCCAAAATTTTGGAGGAATTTGGAATATAGGCAACTATATTGTTCTGCTACAAAAATTAGGAACTATTGTATAGAACAAACTATTCTCTCCTCCACTTTTCAAATGCCATGAGAATAGGATGGGAATATTAATAGGTGGTTTATATATAACACATATACTATAGAGGTAGTTCTCGACTTACAACCTCTTGTCCAAAGTTATATTGGCACTGATTTACAACCAGTCCTCACACTTAGAACTATTACAGAATCTGCAAGGTCATGTGACCAAAATTCAGGACCTTGGCAATTGACATGTGTTTACAACAGTTGCAGCATCCCAAAATTATGTGATTGTGATTTGCAAACCTTCCCAGCCAGCTTCCAACAAGCAAAGACAATGGAGGAAAATAGATTTGCTTAATGACTGCATGATTCACTTAACAATCCTGGCAAAAGTTGTAAAATCAGGCTTGACTCATTTAACAACTGCCTTGCCTAGCAAAATAAATTCTGGTGTAATTGTGTTCATAGGTCAAAGGCTACCTGTATTGCACACAGTACTATTTTTTACGCAATTATCTTTCATTCAGACCAGGGAAAATTGAAGACATTATTTCCTAAGTAAACAGAATTATTACTCTCAATATCTTTTTTAAAGAGGCAGAGAACAGCAATCTTTTGATATGATTTTATTCTAGAACTTTCAGAACTCAAATTTTGCAAAAAAAAAATTACACTAGCCAACATTAAGATTCTTTCACATTCATTCTTCATGAGCACTAAATAAAAGTACTACAAGAGAGTAGTATTGAAGGATCAATACACTCACCTTTCCTAGGCTAACTTCTTTGGTATTCTTTTGCTTGGTTAAGAGCAACAGAGAACAGACTAAAATCTTCTGTTGCAGTGGGAAGGAAGAAGCATCACCGTAACTGCTACCAGTTGCCATCCGGTCACCATACACATCAGAGATTACTTGGGAGATGTGACACAGGCCCACTCGTTTGAGTACTTCAGAGTCTGCAGCTGCTTTGGAATGAGATTTGATTGATGTCATAGGGCTGGAATCAGCTGGTCAGAAAGCAGAAGTAGAGCTGAGTGGAAAACTTACTATTCATATATAAAAACTACTACTCAACACATGTAATTCTTGAAATGCAAAAACGACACATACGTGCATTTTGTTTCCCTTTCTGCCTCATTTGAAAAAAAATTCAGCAAGCCATATTTGGGATTCCCAGGCAGCGTCCAACTAAAGATCTAGATCTGCTTAGTTTTACCAGCATTGTTGCATCACGTAGTTTCAGACCATGTATTAGTCAAAGATGCAATGTTTTATCCTCTAATTCATCCAGTGTTCTATGTCATACCCTGACTCAATCAGAAGTTCACAATTACTCCCAGCTGTTAGTATTGATGATGTTGCATCTTAATTCAAGAGTTAGTAAATAAAACAGGCATCAATGGAAAACATTAAGGATCCAATTATCTTTGAATCTATTTGATCTTTTTAAAGTATCTAAATAGATATCACATCTAATGGCAGCAATGTCTATGATTTATCTCCAGGGCTGCATTATTATTGGTCCCGAATCTCTTCACATTCTGCATCCGTTAAAAGCCCCAATACCAATGCTCTGCTTCAGGAAAAAAGCCAATAGCCGGTCATGTTGAATGATTTTATATCTCTCCAGCAGGTCTCCCCCTACTCTCTTTAACACTAAGCTAAACAGCATAATATGCTGTTTTTCTTCATTTGGGAGTAGCTCTAGCAAGTAAACATTTCAATTGCTCTCTTTTCTAGCTCCAACTTTGCCTTTTTTGAAATTTAGTGAGACAACCGGTACTACATTATTCCAAGTAAAAGTTCCCTCAAGTTCTAAATTAAAGCACTAGCAACCTCACTTTTGATTTTCTTTTTAATGAATCCTAATATTTGCCTTTTTCCATAGCAACCACACATCAAACTGCCCTTTGCACCAATTGAAAGATCCCTTTCCTGCTCAGTCAAGTTGTATATCCAAATTATTACAGTAAATGTTTCAGCAGGATCCCTCAGCAACATGAAGCTATGTGGACATCACGTCTTGGCTGGTAAATTCTGGTACCTGAAATCCACACATCTTAGCTTCAGAAGTATTGGCCTAAGGTTCAAGATCGGTCAATACAAACCTCTATACACCACCTTCACTGCACACAATCCTTAAGACACACAAATTTTTAGCTTGTATGTAGCTGCTTTGGAAGAGACATGATTGTAGCTATTTCTTACTTTGTTTTCTGCTATTCCATACTTCGTTTTCCTATATTTAGGATCAGATATGGAAGAGAGGGAACATTTTCAGCCTTTTCTACAGGGTTGCTTTTGTATTGGGGGAGCAGAAAATACATTTCCACTCCACATTTCCACTCCACAGCATGGCTTAAATTTTCTTTCTGGAAGAAATGCTGCTAAACTAGATCAGGAAAACACTGAAGGAAACCTGGTACTTTTGCATAAAAGTACATGATCTGCATAGAGAATGAGAAAAATCTACTTACAAGCAGGCATTTGTTTAAATATAGACTGGGTCTTCACATCTGACTCCACAATTTCAATGGCCCTCCTAAAGATGAAGATAATATTTTAGATAATGGTATTAGAATTTTATAACCCAATACAGCTATTTGCCACTCCAGATGTGCTGCCCAAACCACCACCCTAGCAAATATGAAGCATACTACCAAGATTCAGAACTAATTCCCAGCTGTTTCGGCTTAAGCACAAAGCAGATCAGTTACAACCAGTTGTATTATTTACATTCCTTTAGCTGCCTCCTTAATGTAGGGCACACAGGGAAGATATCTGCTGTTTGTTCTTGCTATCAGATCATAGCATCCATTACCCTCATTTTAATACCCCTCCAGCCTTAATTGGGATCTAACAAAGCTCAAAAGAAAAAGCTTCCAACCCCAAAGCCTATTAGCACAAAAAGCTATCTCCCTTATCTGGAGTATTTATTTAATTTAAACATGTAAACTCAATGTCTATGGTCTAAAAAAATGGGGATTTTACACAAATGTACAAATGGCTTATCAAATGCAACACAAAAAGGGAGACATGGAGGTCCATCAGCAGAATTAATTAAGCACAACAGAAAACCTTCCCGCTGATGACATTTCATATACCAAGTCATTGTATTGGGATGCCAGTGCAGTGACTATAAATGTTACGGATTTTCATTTTTCCTTTCTTTATAAACCTTGATTGCTTTCTCAAATGGCTATACAATCTGCAAAATGCCATTTTTTGTGCAGCACTTTTAACCAAGTTGCACCAATTGTAGATGAAAGGAAGAGAACAGAACAAGGCCTAATAGATTCTCAAAGGGAGAGTAAAGATTTCTAGAAGGAACCTTCTAGAAGCTTACTATGTCTGCATCATTTTGAACAGAAGACTGACCATCTAAAACAACCGTGATGGTATGTCTCAGGCTTCTAGTTTATGTTTACATTATTTTATTCATTTATTTGCTGCCCATCTCACCTTGAGATGACTCTAAGCAGCTTACAACATTCAACATTTTGGAATGGAGTGCTAAACTGATTTTGTTTCCCAATTTGGGAGATTCTAGAGGTAAAATAAATGCTTTGCATAAGACACAATTTAACTGCTTCAAAACCATTAACCCTTATAAAAAAGAGGATAGTGGGCCACTTACAAAGGATAGCACTCAAAACAACTCTGCAAAGCTGGCTTCTGATTCAATAGAGTAATTCATCTAGTCCACTGGTCAACTAGATGCTACCAAAAAGCTCCAAGGACACAAAGCTCCACGGTAATGTCCCATTTTTGCTGTTGCCCTATTCATTAACCAGAACTCTTTGTAGAAGATACATTTACTATATTTTTAGACAAATAAGCAGGCTCTACCATTTGTATAAGTGCTTAATATATTATTTTATATATTTCTAATCTGTCCTGTAAAGGGGAGAAAAGGATATTTTTCCAATCTACATGTCATTTTTGAAATCTTTAATGCAATTCTCTTGACTTCCTTCTTCTTCTTCTTCTTTTTCTTCAGCGTTTGTCTCGCGCTCGGGCGAGGTCCGCTAATGTCCTTAAGTACTGCTTCCACACCTCTCTGTCTACCACGTATGTCGGGTCTGCCTTCGCGATCTCTAGATCGGCCTTGATCGTGTCCATCCATTCTCTTGACTTCCTTAACAACAGAAATCTATCTGAAGCACGCAGTACAAGGTGTCTTTGATTTTCAGTAGACAATGCTCATCTCCAGATTCTATTTGGATTTAGTTTTATGTGGCAGCAACATCTTGTAACAGGGAGGCCCCACAGGGAAATCTAAAAAATCAAGATAGTAAACTGCCATTGCACAATCAAAACCCCACCCCGTTTCATGGAGCATAAAGATGGTCCCAGAGCCATCATCTTAATTTTTTAACCACCTATATTGACCACAGATGCCTAAAGTCAATCATTTTTCACTTCAGGTAGATAGTTTTAACACATATTTATTTAAAGTTGAAGAGGGATTCCTCTCTGACAAACTTTTTCATTTTAGCTACACTTCTAAAACTATTAAATATTAAATATTTTTAGGACCAATCAACTTTTAATGCTGATTTTGAATTAGTATTATTCCTGTTATCATTTCTTCCTCTAGATCAGTGATGGCTAACCTTTTTGGGCTCCTGTGTCAAAAATTGTGTGTGCGCGCGCCATCATCCAGAAGGCAATGCGTGCGACCCCTGCCCATGCACACGCAATTCCCCCCCCCCCGCATCCTTACCTGCACTCCACTGATTTTCGGCCCATTTGAGGCCTTTTTCGGCCTCCCAGAGGCTTGAGGAAAGCCTTTGCAGGAAATGATGAAACGTGCCTATTTTTCAGCCTGCAAAGGCTTTCCTCAAGCCTCTGGAAGGCCGAAAAAGGCCTCAAACAGGCTGAAAATCAGCCATGAGGCAGGTGCATATGCAGTGAGGTAAGTTTGCCTGTGGCTTGCTTGCCGGCACAAATGGCTCTGTGCGTCACCTGTGGCACACATGCTATAGGCTCGCCATCATGGCTGTAGATCCTATGTGTAAATAGCTTTGACATTTTTCAGAAACTATCCTTAATTCTATTTTGGGTGGGTCAGACTGAGAATACAATAGTCAATATGTTGCCAAATTCAGCTTCCACTTCCACTTTAGAAACAGAGAAATAGAAATTGTGTGATTGGCAAATGAAATGAGGATTAAACTTTCACTTTGGCTAAGGGGCAAATATTTCACAAGAAAGTTACATTTTGGGAAGAGATCTTTAAGATGAAGGAAATGCGACTGTGAGAGGCTTTCTGGGAAGTGAAAAACATTTTCCACAATACAAAACAACTCTTTAACATTCAGAAGACTTTCAAAAAGACACCTACATAAAAATATGCTTCCGGTTAGGTTGGTTGTAAAAGGCTAGGCAAACATTTTGCAAGTGTGAGATATATATTAAGATCCTTCTTCAAGAGCAAGTGAGTAAAACAAAATGGTTGATTTGGTTGCCTCCAATCCTGTCATTTGAAAAAAGTCTTCAACTATGAGTTTTCATTTTTAACAGCAAGCTATTCAATTCTTCATTTTTAAGAATTTCTTCTCACCTACTCCCTTTCTGTATCTATGTATTTCTACATAATTCCACTCTTTCCTATTTTAGTCCCCATTTAAAAAGAGCAATAACAAAATTAAAAGCAACAGAAGAAATATAACAATTATTGGCATGACACAGCCCACTTTAGCTAGTACATGAATTCATTTTGAGTTTGACCCATCAACTAAAAGTCCTGTAAAATGCTATGGCATTTATTATTGATACAAGAAACCTATTCTAGCCTAGCCTTTTCACAGTGAATGTTACTCTACTTATACCAGTTCCTGATCTTGCCTTTTCACCCCAGTACTCTGAAGTAGCTCTCAAGTCACAAGGGAGAAACTGTGCAAGTATGCTATAATGAAAGAAGAGCATGCATGGCCCATTAATAGGAGTTCATTACTATCTTGCATGTTAATGAGATGAATGCACTATTTGTTACATTGGAAACAGTGCCAGAGGCAGATTTTGACCCTCTGTGCTCTATGTCTAATTTGGGCACCCCATGAGAAACAGGACTTAATCTATGTATAAGCTGACATTTATTCATAGTTAACCAAAACTTATGTTTCAGATCCAAAAGTTGGTTGGCAATTTTGGAACAAAAAATATTTTGAAATGGAACCAGGTATGTTTAAATGCACAAAATAATTTGCATTAGTAAATTTGTTTAATAACATTAAGTATTTTTTCTAAAAATGTACAATTATACAGCTAAATAAAGCAAACAAAATGGAGGTGACAGAAAAGCCAAAAACAAAACATAACCCCACAACAAAAGCAAATTAAGCAAACAACCTATCTTTCCCTCAACTAGAATGAACAAATAAAGCATTAGAATAGCATTCTTCAGTGTACTAAGAAAGCATTCGCTTAAGTGCATAATGTCAGCTAGATGAGCATCAACTGTTTTTCACCGAATTGGTTTCACATAAACTTTAATTGTATTTCTACTTCTTCTAAAGACTGCTTTAGGACCAATTAACTTTTAATGCTGATTTTGCATTAGTATTATTATTGTTATCATCATTTCTTCCTCTAGATCCTATGAGTAAACTATTTTATGTTTACTGATGTAGTTTTTAACTAAGAGAAATAAAATATAATCCAGTTAAAGAAAAACTCCTACAAGAATCTTCTGCATGAAATTGATGTACCAGGAAACTAAATTATAAAGGTCTTGTAGATTAAAATCTCAAGGATTATAAAGGTAGATATTGAACGGAGTTCAAAATGATTTGCATAGCTCAGGGGCTATCAAAAGAAAAGAAGAGGCAGGATCAATAGTGAAACATATGAAAAAGAAACGTGTAGTAATATTTATTTGCCTAGCATATTTCAACATTTTTTTTCAGGATCAAAACACAAGCTGTATAAGGTCTATGTGAACTCCTTAAATGACACTAGATCACTTCAGTTTGATTCTTACTGTTAGAGGTCAAGAGGACATTTTACCTCTAAAGATAAGGGAATAAAAGCAAAACAATGGCATTCCAGCAGCTTGCCTTACTCAAGACGGTAATCTGCAACAACCTGTTCTCCTGGCCCTCTTGGAATGGCATCAGAGCACACATTCTTTGCTTCTGTTCTTTTCTCACAATCCGGATTAATCTGCATGTGGTTTTTAGTTTCGGTTATTGGGTTAACATATAATATGGTTTGTGTACTTTTCAAATGCTATATCTAAACCCTAATGCAAAGATATAGATTAGAATCCTCTCAAAGTTACAGCTAGCTTCTTTGCCTGTGTAAAATCTCTACTGTTGTTCTATACTGTAATATTCCCCCGAAGATCCACATTGCTCCTACCCTAATGACATACAATTGTTCAGATCTTTAAAGTTATTGAAAATCTGGCTCTTCCCCTAGACCTAGAGATAAGCTGATGGATGAGCCCCTTCAGGACACCTATGATTTTTTAAAAATTGTAACTCTTACTTTATAACTATAAGCCACCCAGAATCATTAGGACCAACTTCTAAACTGATTGAGATAAGTAAATGCATACATCCTAAAGCAGGTGTATTTGCTCTGAGTTTGAGTAAACATAAAAGGGGACACCAAGCTAACTGAAATCAAGGAAGATGGAAGACAACTCTGATAAACTCTCTTGTGCGGGAAAAGATAACATTTGCAAGCACCATAAAGATGTCTGCTTGAGAGCTGTTAATGAGAGCCTTTTGCAATCTAAATGTAATTAACCAATCTATAATCGCTGCAGGAGGACCGATTCCTCTCAACCTTCATAGGTAATGGGCTGTAAACATTTCCAGACATTAGCACAGCTAGGAGGCACCACCCTCCCCTATCACCACAAAGACAGGAGGGTTCTGTCTCACCTCCCTCTTCTCAGGCAGGGGGACCGAACACCATAATGAAGCTTTAAATCACATCCAGTAATTAGCTTGGAATTTAGTTCACTATATATTTGTCACCTGCAGATGTCCAGTGCTTTGCGGGCATCCCCAGAGAAGGCAGAGACTTTTCTAGCACAGAGCTGGATAGCAGCATTGTCCAACACCTGCTCTCCTGACACCTAAAGGAATAAAGAACAGAAAACATGGTAACAAAAGTAATGGTGCCCCACATTTTTGGAGGGGAAAAAAAGATATGATCTGGGCATGTATAGAAAGCAATTCTTATACTTAGTTCAAAACCTCTGATTCTGCTCAAATTAATATCCTTAATCATTTAACTTCCCACCTTACAGTTTGCCATTAGGGATTAGCCCAACAAATTAACTAATTTGTTCTCAGCTGCAAAAAAAACCTAAAGGAGCTCCTAAAGCAAAGTAGAAGATGCTGAGAAATTCAAATAATAGTTTTCCAAGTGAAATTGAAGATAAATGCAGATTATTCCTTCTATGTTGTTTCGGGCCAAGACAATTAATTTTTGAATCAGGCCACTGAGATATTACCTTCTTTAAGCGTTCCTGGAGAATAGAAGCCAGCTGATCTTTGCTGTATGGGGAAAAGTTTAGTAGCTGTGGCCTGCACAAAGGTCGGGTCTGCAGGCGAGGCAGGATGCGATCAGTGAGATCCAGAGCATTAGCTATACCTATCAAACAAATAAACCTTATTTATATACAACAAACATTCCATCTTACACATAGTTTCTCTAAGAATTGAAAGAATATTACTTTTAAAATCTTGGGACTGTTGTGAGCTATGTACAACTTACCTCTAATTCCATCTTTACTGTTTCTAAGTAAATGCATAAATAAGTTCAGAAGGAAAATATTTCATACTTTCTCAACACCTTACTTTGTGCCTCTTATTTTTCACAATGAAAAGTTCATTAAATTTAGGCTTGGGCTGATGGTCCTACATGCTGCATAGAGGACTGGACTAGTAAGTTCTGATCTCCCTTAGAATGTTATATATCTTTCAGATAAGCAATTAATTAAAGATTATTCTATTTAGCTGATCAGTGGGAATGCACAATTCTAACAGGAAGAGACAGAATATAATCAAAGATCCACATTATCTGGAAATTTTCTATTCTTATTGCTTCGAATTTAAGTATACCTCTTTCTTTCCTTTCTGGTAGTTGAGAAGGAAGGTGGCATAATCCATAACAGCACAGCTAAGCAACAGTCAACATGAATGAGTAGCAGAAGAAAGGCATGAAATAGTACTTCTGACTGACGCTGAAGCATTCTTGGACATGAGGAGTGGGTCTCCAAGCTCCCACACCGAGTTCTCCCTGTTGGAGCACTCTGAAAGGAGCTAAAGCCACCCTGTAGGGGTGGTGAAGAAAAGAGGGGCACCCTGTAGTTCCGGGAGAGCAGCAACTCTCCTGCTGGACTTAGGGCTTCTTCCCTCTTCCTTGATGAGAAGAGGCAGCCATCATGGTTGCCATGAAGCTGGGACAGCCAAGGCAAAAAGAACTCTGCAGGAGCAGTGTAGATAAACAGTGACTGGAGTTGAGTGAGAAGATTCCTTTTTATTTATACCCTAACTTTAAAGAAAAAAAGAGGAAAATCCAGGAACACACTCCTAGAACTATTTTTTAAAGTGGCGAAAAACCATAGAGAGAAAAATCCTAGACCAGGAAAAAAAAAAGGAACTAAGGGGAGTTAGTTCCTAGAAAATTGGACCTTTAAATTCAGCAGGTGTTGTTTTGGTAAAGCATTATGAAATGTGGGACTATCTACTTGAATAGCTGACTTTGCCTCCATAAATTGAACTAAATTTGGGTTAATTAAATCTATAAGACTTGAAACAATGCTGAAACCTAAGCTGAGGGCGCCATTTACTGGTGAATGGAATATACCAGACCCCTACCAGTTTAGAAAAAATGTGATGAGAGAAATAAACAACATTCATCTGGAGGACTGTGGTGACACTTACTGTTCTATAACTAATCACTTTATGATTACTAGAGACTCTATTATTAGAATAAGGAAAACTTTTAAGTAAAGCAAAGTTATTTTTGATTTGCGGAAGCTTCCTGGACTACTTAAATGGAATTGATTAATAAACCTGAGATGTAAAGAACTATGATTACTGAACTTTCTGAAGAGTAATATTGGACTGGAATATATTGTTTTGGACTTGAATAAGAGTGGTACTTATTAAAGAAAAGATACTCCATCAGGGGGAAAGGAGTGAGATTCCAAGAGAAATGGTGTTGATGTTTCAAAGCATTAGGGGTACTATGGAAAAGACTTACAGAGAGATAAGTACTTAATGTAAGGTATAGATAGGAAAATAGAAAATATGCTACAACTGATAATGAATGAAGATCAAAGAATCCAGGAAAGAGAGGAGATAGTAGAAAAAACTACCTAGAAAGACAGAATGGACAAACCAAAATGAGAAGAATGATAAAAACAATGACTAATGAAATAAATCAAGGGGAAAGCTTTTTAAGAGATTTGAAAATGGAATATGATAACTTGGAAGATACTTTTGAAAGGGAGATGGGGATTTGGGTGGATACTCTGGAGATTTGGCAGCTTAGGAGGATAGAGATGGGAGAAATATTCAGTCTGAATGGTGAAGATACAGATAGATAAAGACCCAAGAGAGGAGTATGGGACGCAAGTCAAAAAACAAATAGAATTGAAGCATTAAAATGGACAAGAGATGTTACATAGAATACACACACACACACACACTTTTATGTACATAAAAAGAAAATATATATTCATCAAGAATCATAAGGTACAGAATTTAATGATAGTCATAGGGTGCAGTCAGTCATAAGCAATCAAATCATATAGGAAACAATATAAATTGTAAGGATACAAGCAACAAAGTTACAATCATACAGGAGGAGGAGATGGGTGATAGAAACAATGAGAAGATTAATAGTAATAGTAATGCAGACTTAGTAAATAGTTTGACAGGGTTGAGGGAATTATTTGTTTAGCAGTGAAGGTGCTTGGGGAAAAAACCTGACCTTGTGTCTAGTTATTCTGGTGTGCAGTGCCCTATAGCAGGGGTAGGGAAACTTGACTCTTTTATCACTTATGGACTTCAACTCCCAGAATTCCTGAGTGAGCCATAAAAGGTTCCCCATCCCTGGCCTACTGGTTTTTCAGTTGTGGGGGAAATCAATTTTTGACTTGAATGGGATTGTTTCCGAACTGAAAAACCAGTAGGCCAGGGATGGGGAACCTTTTATGGCTCACTCAGGAATTCTGGGAGTTGAAGTCCATAAGTGATAAAAGAGCCAAGTTTCCCTACCCCTGCCCTATAGCATTGTTTTGAGGGTAAAAGTTGAAACAATCTATGTCCAGGATGTGAGGGGTCTGTAAATATTTTCACAGCCCTCTTTTTGATTCATGTAGTATACAGGTCCTTGATGGAAGGCAGGTTGGTAATAACTGTTTTTTCTGCATTTCTAATTATCCTCTGAAGTCTGTATCTGTCTTGTTGGGACGCAGAACCAAATCAGACAGTTATAGAGCTGCAGATGACAGACTCAATAATTCCTCTGTAGAATTGTATAAACAGCTCCTTGGGCAGTTTGAGCTTTCTGAGTTGGCACAGAAAGAACATTCTTTGTTGTGCTTTTTTGATGAGGTTTTTGATGTTAGGTGTCTATTTTAGGTCTTGAGATATGATAAAACCTAGAAATCTGCAGGTCTCTACTGTTGATGCTGTGAAGTCTAGTATTGTAAGAGGTGGTAGTATGAGAGGGTTTCTCCTAGTCTACCACCATTTCTACGGTTTTGAGTGTGGAAGACTCAAAAGACTGGTTCTTGAATGGCTATTGTGACTAAATAATGAAGAGCTATGCTTTATATAAACATGTGTATTAATATTAGGATCAGCAAAGGTGACCTGATTAGAAGTTAGAACAGAGATAGAAATAAGAAATGGGGGAATATTAGCAGATATAATTTTTGTATAATAAATTTAAGTAATAATTTGATGGAAAAGAGTGCTTATACCACTGGAATTAAAATGGAATATTTAAAAAACTATGTATTTTAATACTAGGATTATAGAAGTTTGATTAATATAACAACCATTATGATTATCATTATTGATGTTTGTATTAAAATGAATTATATCCAGGGGCTACACTGTTCATGCATTGATATTGATGTATACTTAAAAATAAAAATAGAATAAAACTTGAGGAGGAGGAGGAGGAGGAGGAGGAAAAGGGGTACGGGAAGAAGGAGGAGGAGGAGGAGAAGAAGAAGAAGGAGGAGGAGGGGGAAGAGGAGAGGAAGGAGAAGGAGAAGGAGGAGAAGGAGAAGAAGAAGAAGAAGAAGAAGAAGAAGAAGAAGAAGAAGAAGAAG